CCACAAGCCCAGTGAGAGAAGCTAACTTTTGATTCCTTAAAGGCAGAGTTGAGATACCCGGTGCTTTGAGAGGTGGGAGGGAGCAAGTTAGGATAGGGCTGAAAATGTCAGAAAGAATGTAGCTATTTAGAAATGGAATGAAAGGGCAGCACCTGTGGCTCAGTGGGTAGGGTGCCTGCCCCATATACCGAGGATGGCAGGTTCGAACCCAGCCCCGGCCAGCTAAAACAGCAGTGGCAACTGTAACAAAAAATAGCCAGGCACTGAGGCAGGAGCCTGTAGTCCCAGCTACTCGGGAGGCTGAGGCAAGAGAATTGCTTATGCCCAAGAGTTGGAGGTTGCTGTGAGCTGTGATGCCACTGCACTCTAGCGAGGGCGACTAAGTGAAACTCTGTCTCAAAAAAAAGAAATGAAATGAAAGGGGTTGGGGAAGCATGGGAAGAAGCTCAGGGCTTAAAAGTGGGAAACCACCCCAGGAAAGATGGCTAGATGGGGCTGGGGAAGAGAAAACAAAAGAGAAATGAGCAAGGGAAATTTTAATGAGGTCATTGAGTTCAATGGGCCCTGAGACCAAGAGAGAACAGGAAGCTTGCAAGCCGCTGGTCAAGGCAAGGCTGACTGAGTCAGCACTTCAGAGGCACAGAGGGAAAGAGATTTCTGGCCTAAGGCTGCATCTGTTCTTGAAACACCTCAAGCCAGCCAAGTAAGGAGCTATTGCTTTGTGTATCCTACCAAGCCTTCTCTGCTCCCTTGGGCCACAGAGACTGTAGTGGAAAGAGGGCTGCAACTTCAGATTCACCAAGAACCTCAGACAGTGCCCAGATTTCTTCCCCTGAGCAGCAACTTTTATTTATTTTTCTTTTTAATTTAAGTTTTAAAATTAATAAACCTTTATGTGCTTCTGAAGTCAAAACAATAAAATAGGACTTTCCATCTCTGTCCTTTTCGCTCCCCTGACCCCATATATAACTACTGTTACTAGTTTTTTTTTCTTTCCACTATTTCATTTTAAAACAATGGACACACATATTTATTATCCCTCATCCCACCTTCCTACCATGTGTACTCTTCCACAGCTTGCCAATTCTACTTCACAAGAGGTCGCTGTAGCAATATACATTGAATCTCCCCACTGCTCTTCTGTAACTGCAGAGCACCACACTAACACATAGGTGACCATGAGATTATTTAACCACTTCTCTGCAGGGTGGGGGGGCGGGGAATTGGAGTTATCTCCAGTCTTCTGCCACTGTACATGGTGCTGCAGAAAATGTTCATATACATGTATTTTTGCATCTTTTTTTTTTTT